TTCCTTGGATGGCTCCCTGTGGATGGTTCCCTGTGAGCGGATCCCTTTGGATGGATCCCTGTGAGAGATCCCTGTGGATGGCTCCCTGTGGATGGCTCCCTGTGGATGGATCCCTGTGAGCGGATCCCTTTGGATGGATCCCTGCGGATGGCTCCCTGTGAGCAGATCCCTGTGAGCAGATCCCTGTGGATGGATCCCTGCAGATGGATCCCTGTGGATGGATCCCTGTGGATGGATCGCTGTGAGCGGATCCCTGTGAGCGATCCCTTTGGATGGATCCCTTTGGATGGATTCCTGTGGATGGATCCCTGTGAGCAGATCCCTGTGGATGGCTCCCTGCAGATGGCTCCCTGTGAGCGGATCCCTGTGAGCAGATTCCTGTGGATGGATCCCTGCAGATGGCTCCCTGTGGATGGATCCCTGTAAGTGGATCCCTGTGGATGGCTCCCTGTAGGTAGATCCCTGTGGATGGATCCCTGTGGATGGCTCCCTGTGGCTGGCTCCCTGTGGATGGCTCCCTGTGGATGGCTCCCTGTGGATGGCTCCCTGTGGATGGATCCCTTTGGATGGATACCTGTGAGCGATCCCTGTGAGCAGATCCCTGTGGATGGCTCCCTGTGGATGGATCCCTGTGGATGGATCCCTGTGGATATGGATCCCTGTGGATATGGATCTCTGTGGATGGATCCCTGTAGGCAGATCCCTGTGGATGGATCCCTGTGGATGGATCCCTGTGGATGTGGCTCCCTGTAGATGGATCCCTTTCCTTGGATGGATCCCTGTGGATGTGGCTCCCTGTGGATGGATCCCTTTCCTTGGATGGCTCCCTGTGGATGGATCCCTGTGGCTGGCTCCCTGTGGATGGATCCCTGTGGATGGATCCCTGTGGATATGGATCCCTGTGGATGGATCCCTGTGGATGGATCCCTGTGGATGGCTCCCTGTGGATGGATCCCTTTCCTTGGATGGATCCCTGTGGCTGGCTCCCTGTGGCTGGCTCCCTGTGGATGGATCCCTGTGGATGGCTCCCTGTGGATGGATACCTTTCCTTGGATGGATCCCTGTGGCTGGCTCCCTGTGGCTGGATCCCTGTGGCTGGATCCCTGTGGATGGCTCCCTGTGGATGGATCCCTTTCCTTGGATGGATCCCTGTGGATGGCTCCCTGTGGATGGATCCCTGTGGATGGATCCCTGTGGATATGGATCCCTGTGGCTGGATCCCTGTGGATGGATCCCTGTGGATGGATCCCTTTCCTTGGATGGATCCCTGTGGATGGCTCCCTGTGGCTGGCTCCCTGTGGATGGCTCCCTGTGGATGGATCCCTGTGGATGGATCCCTGTGGATGGATCCCTGTGGCTGGCTCCCTGTGGCTGGATCCCTGTGGCTGGCTCCCTGTGGATGGATCCCTTTCCTTGGACTGATCCCTGTGGCTGGCTCCCTGTGGATGGATCCCTTTCCTTGGATGGATCCCTGTGGCTGGCTCCCTGTGGCTGGCTCCCTGTGGCTGGCTCCCTGTGGCTGGCTCCCTGTGGCTGGCTCCCTGTGAGCGGCCCCGCGGCGCTCCCGCGCGCTCCCACCGGAGGGCGCTGCGGGGCGCGCCGCGGGGCGGTGCCGGCGGTGTCCGCGCGGGGG